ATGCTGATGCAGTTTCCATGCTGTTCAGCTCATAAGTTAAAATGAATACTTTAAGATCCTCTGTATGTAGAAGAGGCTAATCCATGCAAGAGCAGTCGCAAATATCATTAATGTGAACTAAAAGAAGTGAAGGGATTAAGAAATTACCTAATATTACCCCACGTTGACAACCTCTCAATCCTGGCTCCTCTGGGAAAGAGCGATCATGCCGTCATAGCCTTCAGTTTTGTCATCAAAACTAAGCTAAGGTATCCCAACAATAATTTGCGTTGGAATTTTAAACGGCTGAATGTGCCAGCTCTACATGACTATCTACAACAGGTGGCTTGGGATGTTCACCCTCAACTCGATGTGGACGGTCATTGGGACTTCTTACTGCACACGCTCTTATGTGCTACAAACCATTCAGTTCCTCAAACGGTTCCCAAAAGCTGCAAGCCACCTACAGTAATCAAGAACCGTACCCTTCGCCTGCTAAGCCGCAAAAGGCACTGTTGGGCGGAATACAAACGAACTAATAACGATGGAGCGTATAGGCAATATAAACATATCAGGAACATATGCACGAAGGCTATAAGAGAAGACAGGCTTCAGTACCAACAAAGCTTATGGACAAATTCGCCTCTAACCCTAGAAGCCTATTCCGTTATGCAGCCTCTCTTCGTCAAGCCAAAACAGGAGTTTCTCAACTGGTAGGTCTTAACGGCCCGACCAACAACGATGGCGACGCCGCTAACCTTCTGGCGGCCCATTACTCTCAAACATTTCAACCGGCTGACATCAACTTTACTGACGACAGTTTCATCTGCAATTCCACAGGACTTTCCGAAGTGGACCTAAGCGCTGACTTGGTGTTCCGGAAATTGCAGCACTTAAGACTAGACACTTCTCCTGGCCCGGATATGGTTCATCCTGCCATACTGAGGGAGGCAGCCTCAATCCTGGCAACGCCGCTTAGCGTGATGTTTTCACACTCGCTAAGCCGAGGCAAATTACCGGAAAATTGGAAGTTGGCTCACATCACACCAATTTTCAAAGGTGGTCGACGCAATGAACCTTCAAGTTATCGGCCGGTGGCTCTTCTGTCATTACCTTCAAAACTCATGGAGTCCCTGATATGCGACGGTTTAAATGACTATCTACTGTCCTTAAATTTCTTCTCACCCCAACAGCATGGTTTCAGGAAGGGTTACTCTTGTATAACCAACCTGCTGACTGCGGTGGACAGATGGACAAGCATCCTCGATCGCAAGGGAAAGGTTGATATCATTTACCTTGATTTCTCAAAAGCTTTTGATAAGGTTAACCACTTGTGTCTTATCAACAAGCTCAAACGACTAGGTATCAAACCACCTCTAATCGATTGGCTTACTTCATACCTAAAAAATCGACACTTTAAGGTTAGGGTTAATTTCACTTTATCTCAGGCTATGGAATGTCCTAGTGGGGTCCCCCAGGGCTCAGTACTAGGGCCTCTTCTCTTCTTGATCTACATAAATGATCTTCCTCAACAGGTAACGTCAGATTTATTACTTTTTGCCGACGACGTGAAACTTTGGAGAGAGATACGCAACCAAGACGATATACAGGCACTTCAGGAGGATCTGACTCGACTTCAAAGTTGGGCAGACGATAACGGACTTACCTTTAACACTTCAAAGTGTAAAGTAGTCCATCTGCGACATATGGTTCATCCTGCCATACTGAGGGAGGCAGCCTCAATCCTGGCAACGCCGCTTAGCTTGATGTTTTCACACTCGCTAAGCCGAGGCTAATTTCCGGAAAATTGGAAGTTGGCTCACATCACACCAATTTCAAGACGATATACAGGCACTTCAGGAGGGTCTAACTCGACTTCAAAGTTGGGCAGTCAATAACGGACTTACCTTCGACACTTCAAAGTGTAAAGTAGTCCATCTGCGACATGTCGCAAACTACAATTACAACTTAGGAAACTCCTCTCTAGTAGTATCCCAAGTCGAAAAAGATTTAGGAGTCCTGGTGCTCCATGATTTAAAGTCTTACGCTGACTGTGACAAAAATGCCTTCCGAGCAAACCTTGCACTGGTAACGTTGAAGCGCATTTTTGGCCGGTTTGACGGACGAACTTCCCATACAATCTTCAATAGTTTCATCCGTCCCCATTTAGAGTACGGAAACATAGTATTTCCTCCCTCACTCCAAAAGGACAAGGTCACTTTGGAGCGTATCCAACGGCGAGCCACAAAATCATTTAGAGGACTCAAATTTAAAACTTACGAAGAACGCCTCCATTCACTAGACCTTTACCCATTAGAGCATAAGCGTCTTAGAGGTGATTTATTAATGGCTTTGAAGACTGTACAACACAGAGGATGTTGTTACAGAAATGTATTAGTCAAAGTAGATACAGGCGAAGGTGAGACCACTGCCGCATGAGCCAGTCCATGGAATACGATTAACTGATGCGCGTTGATTGTACATGACCTTAACGAGGATCGATGATTTGCTCGATATTTAATGACCCAACTGCCGGATGATCTGGCTAGGGCTTGGTGACATTTCGCTGGCCCTACAATACTCCCCGACTAGATTCAATGTCCGTCTGAGTCGGCACCAAACACGTTTGGAGTAGTTGCGCGCCGTAGATTACCAATCGTTTAGTATGAACTCTCGGTTACTGCCGAGCTGTAAAGCAAAATGGAAAGTAGGCGGCAGAAACCGATCGGGAAAACAGCGAGTGACAGTATGTTAGTACGACGTTGGTTAAACGTAAGGCGAATAACCATAAAAGTAATGAAAAGAACAAAACGTTTTGTTGTTCTATCAGGTCTTGCTGAAATATATAACTTTGACAAGTAATTGAGTTCCTCCGATGAGAAACGCTAAGTTTGCCGCAAGAGTAATGACGCTATTGTGATAGTACAATAAGTGTGTTATCAATCGATGCCAATGTCTATACTGCCATTGATTTAAAGTTCATTGTCAGGCAGTGTCGTTGACAGCTTCTAGTTATATCTATATCTAACAGACTAACCGTAAGTACAGAAGTATAACCATGAAGAGTGGTCGTGATTTCGTTGTGCTAAGCTATTAATCAACTTGTAGTCAGAGTTTGAAAAGTCGATGACTGCTGTTACAGTCAGTAAGGGTCGAAAGCTACAAATCGACAGCGAAGGTGGCACAATGAAGTCTCTAAAAGATGAGCGCTACTTGCTTGTTCGATTAGTGAACAGGAAAATGTCAAAAAGAACATAAGAAACCAAGACTGTCACTCTGGACTCATGTCAATGAAACCAGTGAAAAACGCTGTCAGTGTTGGTATATAGGCGACAATGTCGTTTTCAGTTGGCAGGAGACTCGGTCGACTGAATAAACTGATGATTCACGCGAATGATATTGTCTTCAGACCACCAATTGAACTGGACAGGTTGTAAATCGTCGGGTAGTTGAACAGCCGATTAATGTACCGAATTCATCTGTCAGATAACAACCACGAGGAAACAGTACTTCATAAAATGAAGTAGGACATTGAAGTAGAATAACCACAATAATTCGGATGTGTTATAAAGTCAAATCTAAATAATGTCGTTCCTACGTATACTGACAGTTGCACTAAACTTTCGTTTAGGTGTTATTAGCGTAACAGTTGGATGTGTGAATAAAAACATATACAAAAACTATGGTTGGGTTCGTGAAGAATTTTTGAGGACGTTTAGACATTTTTCAAACTTGTATCGCATACAAATAAACCGAAAGCGGAATTGAAATGACTGTCGTGTAATGAGGGAATCGGCCATGGTATACCATGTGAAATAATGACAGATGCAAGAAGAATATTAAACATTAATTAAAATGTTGACCACCAATGTAACGAAAGTTTAGAGGGTTCAGGTAACGCGGCCATTTCGTAAAAGGCTGATACAAAGAGCTTATTACCTAGCATTAGGTGACACACTACGTGCGGCAAAGTGTCTACTTAGGACATGTACTAAGCGTGCTCGTGTACATGCAATATGTTTTACCACAGTACGACTAGCGAGTCATAAATGTACATGATTTCGACTAAAACTTGACGGCACTGACAGAATATATGACTACATTACGTGAAAGCAACTACGAAATGTTATCACGCATCATAAATATAGTACGAAATAATCTAATGAAATTATGAATCTCGCCTGGGTTACTCTTGCTTCTAAGTAATGTAGATTGACGTAGACAGTAGTTTGAATCTAGATTATATACGAGGTACTGTTCATTGAATTCTTCGATTAACACAGCTTTGTAGACTGAATTTGTTTAAGTGTAAAATTAATTTAAGCCAAATACGTAGCGCTGCCTGACGAACAGTCCAAACGAGATCTAAAATTGCAGAAAATTTGTAGTTCAAGCCCACCAATAATCTCTAGCATTCGTGTACTTTGTTTGGCCATGGAACTCAGCAATTGGAAATTAGGCTGGCAGTGGTAAAAAGCAAAACATGCTAGTGGATAGTGTTTAAGCAGAAAGATGAATTTATAGTCGACAGTTAATCTTGTTTGATTATACTAGTGGATAAGTTACATACAGATATGCGTTCATGTTGCCTTGTGGCTATACTCACTAGCAGCCGATATTTTAACAGACATATTAAACAGGAGCATTTACATGCTGCTAATGCTTTTTAAGAAACCACGATAGCCGATTACATTCGTAGTTGATTAGTTAGTTCTATCGATTGAACTAATTATTTAAGTTTAAATGCTAATCAACATTGAGATGAAGCAACGAAAGTTCACAGTGATAGATTAACATTGACGATAATTTGGCTAGGCTTAGTGACATTTCGCTGGCCCTACAATATAGTAAGTAAATAAATCAATACATCTTAAGCAATGAGGAAATATAAATCACCTATACTTTTATTATTACTAAGTCAGATTTGTTGGACTTCAAATAACCACAACCACTTTCCTGTACATTTTAATCATAATATTGGATACAATGTATTTCTAAGGTTTGTTATAACCACTGACATTGTAAATTGTTTTTAGGTCGTTAGTAATAACGTTACCCCGCTGTGTTCGTAAATGGATGAACTTGGTTAGTATTTTAATGACCTTACTAAAGTGACCTTTAAATGAAATTGGGAACTCACAAGTTATCTTATAAAATTTTATTTGTTTACAGATAGTCTGCTAAATGAGTTGCACCAAACTAATCAAAAAATCTTGCAGAAAAATAATGCTTTCAATTCATCCTCCGAATGCAGTAATACTGTCACTCATGTAACGAAAACAAACAAACAGACTGAGTCAGACTACACTGTTTTTGATCCAGGACAATGTGAATCTGGACAAGCCATTAGTCGGAACGGTGATCGTTCGAGTTCTTCACAACCAGATAGCGTTCAAGATCTCAACAAAATGCTAGCTAGTCTTGACAACTTTGATTACTTGCATATTGATCAAATTCCACAAGCATGTCTTGGGTGTAAGTTGACTAGCAAACGAAACTGAATAGATTTACGCCTGATTTTGTTAATGATAATCCCAAAGTGTTCATTATATTAGTGCCAGTATTTAGTCCTACTCATTTTTTACCTTTAATTAGGTCCTTCATAAATTAAACATGATGGCTTTTTACGCATACAGACTGTTTGAATATGTGTGTCTGATTAGCGTGTTTACACGAACAATGTGAGAATAATTCACAAGATCCTACTCATCAACCCCATCAATGGTGAAGACCTTTGCGTATGTTGTTACTGTTTGCTGGCTGGTTGAATTCAGAGTTTAACGCTTTTACACAAGATAAGTTTGGTAGGAGAACACTTATATTTGATTTTCTTAGTAACATCTTTAATTTATTTAAGTGCTTAAATGGCATCTCTAAGGTATTGGTTGATACTCACACAATTTATTTAAAATTTTCTGCCCAAAGTTTTAATCATAGGCAAAAATTTCTGGCAACTGTGTACAATGAGGGGCGCGGTGGATATTTTACTTTGATAGTGGTGTCATGGGAACTAACAGAAATTAATAGCGAACGGCATTCAGTCAAACGTCGTAGCCTTATAACAATTAAGCGCACATGATGCACTCTTGTTCATCTGGATAGTCATTTTAGATGTATCTGTTTCATCCATCATAGCTGGCGTTCAAATAAGTTTTCCTCTTAACAATTAATGTCCTGTTTTCCGTTGTTATTTGAGATACCATTCTTGAGATATATGAAAATCAATTTTAAAATGGTAAACATTGATGATAACTCAACAGGATAAAATATTTTCATACATTTTTGACGTTATTAGGTCTTCCTAATCTAATTTTTTAAATATTTGGAGTTATGCTTGTTTAGTGGGCTGAATAATTTTGTCCGGATGATATTCTGCTTAGCGGATAGATCGTAGTGTACACTATCCCGTTTAGCCATTTTCTATGGACTTAGATTCTCGTCTACTTTGATTGACTTGCTTCCTATAGTTGGAATCCCCCTCTCTCTCTGTGTGTGTGTATATATATACGTTTTTTATTCACTATCGGTATTCTGATCACGCCAACTTTCAAATATCAATAGTATACGTTTGTTTCTACCCTCAAATATAGAAATATCATGTGTTTATTGTACATTATGCTCTTAATACTTATTTTAATATGGTAGAGGTTCATTCGTCAACAAATTCTTTAGACTGTTCAAGATTAAGCAGTCTTTTCTTAGTCAACAGATTTATTCTTACTTTAGTTTTTACAATCCGCCTAGAGAACTTTTCATAAGGTGTCATGCACATAACCTTTTGGTGGGAATCTTGTGGGAAATCATAGGTTTGAAATGTTTGTGTATAGTTGCATTTCCTATGATTACATACACGCACGTCATCATATTTTTTATAACGTACGTGTCAGTACTTTCCGAGAAATTGTTTTATCGTTTTCATTGATTAGCATCTTGAGACACTGAGAATTATTATGTTTATATCATAAAACCTCGAGTGCTGAACAAGTACACCAAAATTTAAGCTATGTAATTTGTAACACCCTGAAGTAATTTTAAGGACATTTATATGAATTATAAGTAGCTCCTCTTTAAAAACAATTCATTCAATATCGGTTTTGTAATTTTTTAGAATTTTCAAGTTACCATTTCAGAAATTCACGTTTTCTGTGTAACATTTAGTAATGTTGGATATTAACCAATTTGTACTTTATTTATCTCAATTTTTCCATCTTAAATGCATTCTGTCTATTCAATAATCAGCAAAATAAATGGCTTAAACCATACACACGAAAAATAGCTTGTGATTTTCAATCGCTGAGTGTTGATTACTATGTTTACCCAATAAAATCATATATTATAATTTCACTCACAAAATGTGAAATTATTTTACTTGCGATTAGTTTTAAAAGGGCAAATTTCAAAATAATGAAAAGCAGTCATTGAAAATTTTGTATTACATCAAACTTTCAAACCACAGGTGTGCTTACACTGCGTTTTTATGATTTATATGTAGAAATGCATCGTATTTCATATCCAGTGAGCAATTTTCAACATACTTACACACAGTTATTACTCAAAGTATCAGCTATGCATTTAAAACTGTTTGAAATGTAACTCGCACTAAAAGGCATTCATCTGAGATATAATATGACTTTAAGAAAGGGTAGTTCTCAATATACATCCACATTATAACAATCTTGATGAATCAAATATAAGTTAATTACATAAGATACTAAACGAACGACGAGTCTGACACATTTCAAATCTCATACACATAGTTCCCTTTATTATTTTAAAGAGAGTAAGAACAAAGGTTGGTGCAGAATAATATGAATTCATTTTATTTCGTTAGGTTCTCATCAGCTGCTTTCAACCTAAAATATTTGAAATTCAACGTTATTATAGATATTGACATACTTATACAACAGAGGGCGATGAAGGATGAATATATGTAACATAATGTGGCAAAGATTTCGTTAGAGTTAATGAGGTCATAAAATTTTGTTTCGAATATATAGAGTTTGGGAGGGAAGGTTCCAGAAAATTGAAGTAGTGATTAGAAATCATGGAATTAAAACATATTTGACGATTATGTAATGAAGTAACTGAAAATAGATTAATGTTAATAAAGAGAGATATGAATTGAAATTGGTCAGTTATGAATCAACAGAGTAAAAACTGGAAAAAAAGATAGATCAACCACACTGATCGGTCATATTGTTGACATTTATAAGCTTGTGATATTTTATGATTTATAATTAGTCTAATTTACCTTGTCATTTCTCTTCGTCTATCATTTTTTACCATTAGATTGTGGTATCATTGGTTTTTAAAAAGTGGTTCTTGATTTATTATGAGAACCACTTTACTGTACTCAAACAATTAAAACTATTTTATCCATGAGAATTAGAAGATTGAATAATGTTTTACATCGTTTGACTCAGTTTTCTTTCATATGTAGTTACTAATACACTTTATCTTTTCAACTAGTCATATCTGTTGTCATACATAATATTTCAGTGACTCACCAAATATCTTAAATATTTGAGTATTTATGATCACTGAAGACTTTATAATTGCTCTTATCTGGATACCCAGTATTCATTGATTCGATGATATTTTTAACATTAATGTCAGTTTACATTTTATAATTTATCAAGATTAAAGTCAAAATTGTGAATAGTTTGCTCTTATCATTATTTCATTTTTAGTAAAAATTGTTTCCTTTTTTCTTCCATATAACTTCACTAGATGATCAAACTGAAAGAGGTCAGTTACATGCAACTCCAAATTATCATACAAAGTAAGCTTTATTTTCATAAATTTATTTGCAATTTAGAATATAATTTCGTGATGTAGATAATTTGGTTACTTCGAAAAAATAAGTATAAGTTATCTCATTAACAACAACCTTCTCAGTCGTCTGAAAAATATTGATCGTTATGTAACCAAAATTAGGAGTGAAATTTAAAGCACAAACGTATATCTGTTTTTTTAAAAAGTAGATTTCTACTTTGTTGCTCTAAATTTATATTTTGATTTAATTGAAATAGTTATGCTTCATTTTTTCAAAGATTATGTAATATAATATTAAAATTCACAGTATTTTACATTACTCGAAGGTTGAAATATTAACTATAAGGTAACATGTTCACAAACAACTTTTATTAGTCTTGAGAATCGTTGACGGATTATAGATTGGACTAAATAACGTTACGTGAAGGACTAAGTTGAGGCTCGCTGATTGACCATTTCCTAGCTAATCAGCGCTACTGGACAATGGGACAAGACTCCAGAATGTTCTCGTGTAAAATTATAAATATACTAACGTTTTACTCATTATGATTCATATCTACATTCAATCTTTTTTTACTTGGAATATAATTACGTTTTTTGTCTTGCTGTGTTTTTATTTGGGGACTTGTCGAACGAAGTTTTGTCCGAAGAATGTTAAGCAGTGAGAGTAGCTGTGTTGCACAAAGAGAAATCATAAATTAATTAGTCGAAAGCATATTAAACCAGGAGTGCACCAATAAAATAAAGCCGTCTTTGATTGCTGCAAGAATGAAGAATATATGTGAAATGATCAAACGGATAAAAGCGCTTAGTTTACATTCCAACCAATGATTAAAAACGGTGGTTGTTGCATGTGGTTTTTTAAGATTAAATATCTTTTCATAAGTCAATAAGTCGTTCATCTTTCAAGCAGTTTAACCATACAGTACATACATATGAAACAATCAAGTTTCAGATTGACAAAAGTCACAGTTCACAAATTATATAACAGTTTTGTGTCGATGAATAATTATTCAAAAAGGTATTTTATTCGTAGCAGTAGATTAAACTTGTTTATAAGTCATTAGTCATGTGAAGCTGTGAATAACTTTATGACATTAACATTGTTTCCGCCTTTTCTGTTCTCATCATTTAAATTTTGGTTTTTTATCCATTCTATTTTCTTCATTTTCATCAATTCAATAAACACTAGATATGTGATTTTTTAAAAATCAATTTTAAGTTGGATAGAATGAAATATATATGCTGCGTCAGCTTCCACCATTGTTTATCAGTACAAATCCTATCCATAATCACTATCCATATGTTTATATTTATCAAACATATTCATGTTTAGAGTATAACACTGTCAAAATACGACGTTATGTATTGTCAGTCAAATCAGTGTTATGCACATCAGTAATTGATTTATCCAATAACATGACTTTTGATTAACAAGTCTGATGGGTTTATTTGTTCATCATAGATTGTGTTATATATTCAACCAATAATACCAATCCGTCTTATACAAAATGCTGATATCAGTATAATGTTTGTTTTTGACATTTGAATTCTGTGTTATTTATTAAACACTTTCTAATCTTATGTCAGGATTTTCTTCAGTCAATTAAATTCAGAGCCCTCTAACAACTGAACGAGGTTTACAACAACTTTAGCTTCAATTATAATGAAATTATTGTGACAGAGTGCGTAACAATAATTCTGTAGATGTATTATATTTAGAACCAATAATTTCTTCTTTTAAAGACTACTTTAGTTATAATTAATACGCCTATGAAACACATTAGAGGATTTGATAACCAAGATATTTTCAACAATTTAACCTATTGATCTCACCTCTTTATATACATCCAAACACGTCACTGATAATTTTAAGTAAGATATTTTTGATAATTAGATACTGTTTCAATCTTAACAGTGTTTATGACACTGATAAATAAGTGAAAAATTCATCGTAACAAGTATCCAGTTAACTTTTTATCATATTCATTCTATATTCATTCTGTAATTGAATAAATTTTGAATATATGAAAGTATTTACTCTAAGATGAGTTCACATCCTCTGACTGCGTTTAAGTACCTTAGAACATTTCTGTTTTTCGTCTTACTGTGGAATACGTTTGTTGATCACATTTATATCTTCCTAATATATATATATTTTTTTCTTCTTCAAATTGTTGTCGTACTAAGAGTGTGGTCGATTAAAGCATTTGTAAATGAAAGAAACTATGTTTCCGATTAGCTTCAATACATAAAATTTATGATCTTTGGCAATATATTCATATATTGATTGTTTTATTAAATTAACATATTATTAAGATAACGTATTTTCTTAATTTCCATTATGGTGTTTATTTACTTAGAGATTATCATTTTAATCTAATAAACTGATATCTAAATTGTATTCATATGTTTTTCACTCATAAAAATGCGTTTGAAGGAAATATTCCTGGTTTGAATCGAATTCTGAATATGGTTATGATATATGTGTCATGCATTACAACGGCATTAAATTTCAATTCTGATCCACTTATGATTAATGAGTGGCTGAAATAGACAACTTCCAGTAATCGTTCAAACTGAAAGATATCTAGCAGTATTGGATGATTGACAATTGACATTAGTTGGAACTGTAGACCACATGATTTCTACTCAGTTTACTGAAAGTGTTTGCTTACTACATAATCACTATGTCAGTTTCTACGACGATCATAAGTACACATTGTTTCAGAGGCTAAAACTAAGACAAAGCAGCTTTTCAGTATTAAATTGCTTTTAATTTATCCCCAGGATATATTAGTTAACTCACGAGGGTAACAACTATATTCATTTATGAGTAAGATCATGCCAATTTATTACATCACTTATAGTGAGTACCATTAGATTAAACTTATGTGACAAATGCAGAAATATGTATATAAATGCATTTAATTTTATATATGTTCTGTGATACCATGTTTTTGTCTACTTACATTGTGTTAATTATTAAAATCTATGCTGTCTGTGAATTCTATTTTTTCTACAAAATAAGTTTGTTTAAGTAAAATTAACATTCCTACATTTGATTGTTTTTCTAAAACTAAAACTAAAAGTGTCTGTGTTCAATTACATATAATTTCATATACACGTCGTTATGTTTATTTAATCGATTTATTCAGAGTAAACATACATCAGAGAATAAATGAAGTGAAATAGACTCATTCATTTTTGTATAAGTTATTTCTCGGTTCACTTAGAATTTTTAGAATTCTTGTTGTACAAGTGCGTTCCTTATGCATAACCAACGCTATTATTATTTTCTCTCTAATATTGATTTGACTCACATATATGCTATATGAGTTTAAAGTCTGTTTCAACATTTTTTTTATTTAAGTCCATCGTTTAGTAACGATTAAACTATTGCACAGTAAACAGAAATTAATTAGTTACTAAAATGTTTATGGTACTTAACTGTTCTGAAAAATAACATTATCACAGCAACTGGGATGTTAGCTATTAAAATAATTTTCATCTAAATATAATTTTTAGTACAGTCTATTCTATTTGATTAAATAATCAGTAAAACACCATTCACAGTGAAGTATATATCTGTCCGTCAGTCAATCAAAGATAACGTAATGTTTGACACGAATATGTATCTGTCTGATTTCCAAAATAGGAAATATCAACTACAGTGGACAGTCAAAAGTAAAGAACGTGGTTGAACCAGAACAAACTGGATAGTGATAGGTACAAAATAAATAAAAGCTCAAGATTTAGAGTAAAATAACGAAAGAATACAACTTTTTCAATGTGGTCAATAGTAAAATAACAAAGGATCTTCATCCAATATTAACATAAGTAGCAAACGTAATGAGATTTGAAGATATTAATTTATTAAGCTAGTCAATTGATGAAACTGCAGCTTATCGACAAATTGCTAACTACTTCTATATTGAAGAATGATGAAGTATTATATCATATTTTACTGTTAATTCACTAAAGCTTTAAAAATCTGTATCGTAATTATTGTTTCTGATCAATGTGAATCATCGAAACAGTATACCAGCAGATATTGCATTAATACATTTTCTTGTTTTATAATCAGACTTTAATGAAAATGTATCATACATATGATATGAATGATTTAAATTTTAAGCTTATGGTAATCAGTAAAATATGTTTTTCAAGTTGAGAAGGTGAAACGTTATTAAGAACAGGTATTAAGTTACCACATAACGATGTATTATACAACTGAGTTGTATATGGTATTTCCTTTACGTCGTTCCGCAAGTTATAATTATATTTACCTAAAATCATAATCAAAATAAACAGAAAAACACTACATATCATTTTGGCATATCTGTTAAGGTTATAGAAAGCATAATAGAACTAAAATAGATTTATATGCATCAACTCAATTTTTACTGATAGATTATAAACTACTTCTTTATGAAAGTATAAATTTTTCAAGAATACATATGAAAGCAATAATTTATTGAAGTAGACACTGATATTGAAAACATGTATTTGTCAGTTGTATTAATTGTTATTTCTCATACTGTACCATTCAAATTAATCACTATTTGACAGTATTAATCACTGAATTGGGATCAAATGTAATGAATACACATAAATTTCGAATGTGATGTGATCTATCCTAGAATATATTGGTAATTGGCACCATTGAAGTGATATAAATTAAAGCGATATAATTATCTGATAATTTTAGATTCAAACAACTTCAAAACTATTTGCTTCTTTTTATTTTTTATAAAATAACTGTGAGGATAATCCATCAAAAAGGAACTTACAGCTGTCCAGTTTTCTAGCATATTAGCCCCCTTAAAAACTTACATTTATCATTGATTATAACAGTTTTGAGATAACCATTGGTTAGTTAATACCGTCTAATAGTTTGAAGTTAATCTAAGATGTTTTTTTTAATATTTTGGTTAATGATTTAGAATGATCAATTTGAAAGTTTACTAAAATGACATGCAGTACAGAACAAGAACTATCAGTTCA